GTGGTGTGGGTTTGCTGCCCAAAGCAGCCGTGTTGAGAGATCGTTTTGCTGTGCCTTCTCCTGCCAGCCAGCAGTGTGGTGTTGGGGAAGAGAGATGTACAACGTGGTGATGTCACAGCATGACTGGTTTATGGGCGGAGCCAGAGAGAGCCAGGGTGGTGTAGTGGTTAAGAACGACAGACTCTTAATCTGGAGAACCGGGTTCGATTCCGCACTCCTCCACGTGAAGCCAGCTGGGTGACCTTGGGTCAGTCACAAGCAGTGTTCCCTCTAAGCTGAGTTAGTGTGAGCTAGCTCACAGTTTTTTAGCCTTCAGCTCACACATTTTTGTCTGGTGTAGTGGTTAAGTGTGCGGACTCTAATCTGGGAGAACCGGGTTTGATTCCCCCACTCCTCCACTTGCACCTGCTGATGTGACCTTGGGTCAGTCACAAGCTCTGGCACAGCTGTCCTTGAAAAAGAGCAGTTTCTGTCAGAGTTCTCTCAGTCCCACCCACCTCACGGGGTGTCTGTTGTGGGGAGGGAAAGGGAAAGGACTTTGTAAGCCGCTCTGAGACTCCTTCGGGTAGTGAAGGGCGGGGTATAAATCCAATCTCTTCTTCTTCTTCTTAGCTCAGGAAGGAGGGCTCCAGAGCAAACTAATTTATGCAGCAGCCAAATCGCTCGCTCACAACTTTAATGCCAGCAGCTCACAAAGTAGAGAATTTTTGCTCACAAGACTCCACAGCATAGAGGAAGCATTGGTCACAAGTTCTGTCAGAGCTCTCTCAACCCAAAAAATAAGTCTAGCTCGCCACCCATGAAGAGGTAGAACTTTAGGCTGCCAGACAATCTTAGGATCTCCTGGCTATACTACACGCAATGCCATAGAGTAATTATTATAATTATTAATTAATTATTGTGGGCAGAAGGGGACAGCTTGCCACAGGGCTGCCATTTTCAGTGGCATCCCGATGTCTCCTCTAATGTGCCCCTCCACCCTAAGCGATTTGCAGCACGCCTCCTAAGAATTCATGTTAGCACTGCCATCTTCAGATCACCACTCAGATGGTTTGGACATAGCTGGAAGCTCTGTTGCAATGAAGGCTTTGGCTGCCAGGCATCCAGGTGCCAGTCTTTACCACACACCAGACAAATAGCACGATGCTCATTCATTTTGAAATATATATATTCTTCATAGAAAAAAAATACAGTAGATGTTTTCTGTTTCCCCCCCAAACTGTTCTGGGAATCCTAAGTTTGTACTGGCCACCTTAGAGCCTTCTAGGATCATACGATTCTGTTTCTGATTCATCGCAGCTGGGATCTCAGGAATGACACGGCTGATGCTGTGTGTCCAAAGTGGATTTGGCCTTCTGTTTCTCTACCACCAGGCCATACTGAGATGTGAAGGAAGGTTGACAAGTAATTTGTAGTACGGCATGGTGGCCTGGGGAGCCTGCCTTTCAAAGGAAATATGTTGTTTTGAGCGCTCCTCGGCCTCTGGGCCTGGCCAGAGTGACTCTTTGCATTCTGGCTTGATAGAACTGTACCCTACGATAAGCGAGTTATCACTCCTTTCCATGCGTGAGTCAGTGTGGTAACGCGTGCTTTAAAAACACAGCAACACTGCAGCCTTGGACGTTTTGCATTCTGTCTGGCACATTCGGTTCATTCCCGTTTTTAGATTGTTTGGGTGATGTTCTGTGTTTTCCACCTTTTGCACTTTATTTGTAGACTGTTTTCTCTTGAAATACACAAAGCAATCTAAAAGTTTTTTTTTTAAGTGATAGAAGCATGGCTGTCGAGATTAATACACAGGGTCACTTAAAAGGATCACCCTTAACTAAGCTCGGCCTGGTAATATATTTTTTCCAGCCGTGTAAGTTAAAGGACATTAAGAGGAACACACACAGCTGAGGTTCTGTTTAATCTCATGTGTGGCTGAAAGATCTAGTAGCCATATAGGCGAAAGGTTAAGCGGCTTCTCACTTATTATTATTATGATGTTTGATTTATAACCCGCCTTTCCTGCACAGGCATGCTCAAGGCGGCGTACAACAGGTTAAAATACAATAAAACACAAATACATAAATGCAATACTATAAAATTCACGCAACAACAATATACATACAAAGTGCAATTAAGTGCAGACAGCAATTGCTGTATGGTGGTCCAATATAACTAAACCAGTATCCATAGTTGTTCTTAGTGCCAATTGCATAAGGGCTGTGGCAGTTCAGTTTTCAATAGCTCATTCCTCAGTGGCGGCTCCTAGTCAAAGGCCTGGTGGAAGAGCTCTGTTTTACAGGCCCTGCGGAACTGTACAAGGTCCCTCTGGGCCCTGATGTCTTCCAGGAACTCATTCCACCAGTGTGGAGCTGCCACTGAGAAGGCCCTAGCTCTTGTAGCGGCCAATCTGGCGTCTTTCGGACTAGGGAGAGTCAGGCGATTTTGCGACCCTGACCTCAGTGCTCTTTGGGGGACATATGGGGAAAGGCGGTCCCTCAGGTAGGCCGGCCCCCGACCACATAGGGCTTTAAAGGTCAAAAACAGCACCTTGAAGCAAATCCGGTATGCTATTATATACATGTATAATGTATGACGAGGAGCTGCGGTGGCTCAAGTGGTTAAGATGCTGAACTGCAGGCTGTGGAAGGTCAGTAGTTCAGCAGTTCAAGAAGACCTGGGTGCTGCAAGACGGAGTGAGCTCCCGTCTCTAGTTCCAGCTCCTGCCAACCTAGCAGTTCGAAAGCAAGACATTGCAATTAGATAAATAGGTACCACTTCGGTAAGGAGGTAACAGCGTTCCGTGCACCTTGGTGTTTAGTCATGCCGGCCACATGACCACGGAAACGTCTTTGGACAGCGCTGGCTCTTTGGCTTTGAAACGGAGATGAGCACCGCAACCCTAGAGTCGGATTCGACTGGCTTTCGAGCAAGGGAACCTTTACCTTTATAATGTATGACACCGTTTGTTTTATCATGCAAAGGTCGTGTGTCCTTGCTTTCTGGTGGCTATGCCCCCCCGTCCGTTAGCTAGGATGCAGAATACGTTGTTAGCCTATTCCCCCATACCCCAGAATTTGGAATTCTGGGAATCGGGCTTTTCTCCAACAAATGAATTTCAGTTACGGTATATGCTACGATCCATAGGGACTCAGGCATATTTCCTCCATGCTTGGGAGGTTTTTTGCTTTGTTTTGTTATCGCGCTTCCTTTTGGATGTCGCCATCCAGTATAGCCGCTAGACAGAACTGTTCTTTAAGCTCTGCTTTGTGACTTCGCATGAGAACACTTTAAAGGGAAACGCACTGCCTCCAGGACCCTGTTTGGGTGGGAAGGGTGGTGCAGAAATGTTTAAACTGCTTCCAGGCTGCACTTGAGGGGGGGGGGCTGTTTCCCCCTTTAAATTGCTGAATTCCCAAACCACCTTTTGAAACCGGGGGAATTTAAAGGGTGCTTTGTAGTTTCCAGAAAGGATGCTGTGTGACAGATGTAGACGCTGGCACGTCCACAGTTGTGCTGCCCTTCTCCAGTTACCTAATGTGCTTTTTGTGCAAGTTTTTTTGAAGATGTGTGATATAAGTATTCATACGGTTGCTTTGTTATTCGTGTCACAAGCAAGGAGGATGCAATTCAAGGTTGCAGGGAAGCAACAACGTTACATGCAGCAGCACAGACCGAGTTTGACATGTCTTCTGTTTCCTTCTGTTGCATAAACTCATGTGCAGGATTCAGCCATGCGATTTGGAATTAGGCCTTAACTAGAAGCAGCCTGGACCCGATGAGGAACCTCGTATAGGTAAAACAGTAAAAAGCCCAGCAAACGAACAAACTTCATTGTAGCATAAGCTTTCGAGAAACACAGCTCTCGTTATCAGAAGTAAGTGCCTTTCAGGTGTTCCATTCAGATTCATCAACGGAAGGGGGTCACACCCAGCCTGGATTGCGCATTCTACCTTTTTCATGACTCTTGCAACTGTTTTGCATTTACATGGCACTTTCTGCATCTGCTCCCCTCTCCCCTTACCACCTATATATCTCTGGCCAGTTTCTTCGTACCCGCCATGCATCTGACAAAGAGAGCTGTGCTTCTCGAAAGCTTATGCTACAATGAAGTTTGTTAGTCTTGAAGGTGCTGCTGGGCATTTTACTACAGACTAACATGGCTAACTCCTCTGGATCATAAGAACATAAGAGATGCCAATGTTGGATCAGGCCAAAGGCCCATCCAGTCCAACACTCTGTATCACACAGTGGCCAGAAATACCAGGTGCCCTCAGGAGGTCCACCAGTGGGGCCAGGACATTAGAAGCCCTCCCACTGTTGACCCCCCCCAGCACCAAGAATACAGAGCATCACTTGCCCCAGAGTCCCTATCTATACCTTGTGGCTAATAGCCACTGATGGACCTCTGCTCCATATGCCTATCTAATTCCCTTTTGAAGCCGTCCATGCTTGTAGCCGCCACTACCACCTGTGGCAGTGAATTCCATGTGTTAATCACTCTTTGGGTGAAGAAGGACTTCCTTTTATCCGTTCTAACCCAACCGCTCAGCAATTTCATGGAGTGCCCACGAGTTCTTGTATTGTGAGAAAGGGAGAAAAGTACCTCTTTCTTTACCTGTTCTTTCCCATGCATAATCTTGTAAACCTCAATCATGTCACCCCTCAGTCGTCTTTTCTCCAAGCTAAAGAGCCCCAAGCGCCTTAACCTTTCCTCATAGGGAAAGTGTTCCAACCCTTTTATCATTCGAGTTGCCCTTTTCTGCACTTTTTCCAGAGCTATAATATCCTTTTTAAGGTGTGGTGACCAGAACTGCACACAGTATTCCAAATGAGGTCTCACCATTGATTTATATAGGGGCATTATCTATACAAGATCTATGACCTTGTATAGGCAGATCTATGACCTTGTATAGGCATTTCCTTGTGGGTTTTCAGGAAAAGTTAAATGTCTCTCTCCAGATAAACACAGAGATTTTTTTTTACTCCTGTGTCTTCTGATATATTTCTAGAACAAGTTGAAGTCATCGCAGAAAGACAAAGTTCGCCAGTTCATGATCTTCACTCAGTCCAGTGAAAAGACCGCCGTGAATTGCCTGTCTCAAAATGACTGGAAGTTAGATGTTGCAACAGATAACTTTTTCCAGAATCCTGAACTGTATGTACGAGAAAACTTAAAAGGGTCGTTGGACAAAAAGAAATTAGAACAATTATATAATCGATATAAAGGTAAGTGTTTGGTAATTCCATTAAAAAAAATAAAATTCTAATGTACAATTCTTAGCCTTAGATGCTGTACCTGGGGCAAAGTGTTTTCCAGAGCAGACCGAGGAGGGGGATGCTAAAGAAGAAGAAGAGATTGCATTTATACCCCACCCTTCACTACCCAGAGGAGCCTCAGAGCGCCTTCCCCTACTCACAACAGACACCCTGTGAGGTAGGTGGGGCTGAGAGAGCTCTTTTGAGAACTGCTCTTGAGAGAACAGCTCTGAGAGAACTTGTGACTGACCCAAGGTCACACCAGCAGCTGCATGTGGAGGAGTGGGGAATCAAACCCGGTTCTCCCAGATTAGACTCCGCACACTTAACCACCACACCAAACTGAAGAGCCAGCGTGGTGTAGCGGTTAAAAGCTGCAGACTCTAACCTGGAGAGCCAGGTTGTATTCCCCCCACCTCCTCCACATGAAGCCTGCTGGGTGACCTTGGGCCAGTCACAGTTCTCTCAGAACTCTCTCGGCCCCACCTACCTCACAAGATGCCTGTTGTGGAGAGAGGAAGCGAAGGTAATTGTAAACTACTTTGCGACTCCTTAAGGTACATAAAAGCCGCTTATAAAAACCAACTCTTCTTCTTCTTCTTCCCCACAAATGATATCTGATTAAGAAAGCTTCAGTTCACTGAAGCTTATACCTTGGAAATATTTTTTGGTTTTTAAGGTGCTCCTGGCCTTGAATTTTGCTCCCCACAAGCGATAAGCCATTTCGCCCCCCCCTTTACCACAGTGCTGTTAAAATTACAAGTCACGGAATCCAGTTGCTTTCCTCGAATTTGCACCATCCACAGTAGAACAAAATTAGTGTCCAGTGGGGCACCTTTAAGACCAACAGAGTTTTATTCAAGGAGTGAGCTTCCGTGTGCAAGGCACACTTCGTCAGACAATGAAATGGAATTACAGATCCTAGTTGTATATATAGGGGTGGCTTGTTAAATTAGCATGCCAAATAGTGAAGATGTTTTTTAACAGATCCAAAGAATGACAAACTCGGTTTCTGGTTATCATCTGTTTGGGTTCAACTGGGGGAAAACAACTTAGGTAACAACAGGGGTCATTTCGTAGAAAAAGAGGTGCAGGAGCTCATTAGCATAACTTATTTGCATATGCCACACCCCCTGACATCACCGTGTGTCAGAAGGCAACACCCACTGCAACTTAACTGGCTGCTTCTTGCTCCTCGTGGCCTGGGGCTGCTGGGAGCAGGGGGCGGGGCCTGTTGCATGTGCCCGCCCCCTGGGCTCTTTACTGCCTGAGCTCCGCTCCTGTGCGCTCCTACAGGAAATGACCCCTGGGTAACAAACATGTCAGAACTAGAGACTGATGTGCCCTGAATTGTGAGACTCCAGTCCTTAGATCCCATCCATCCCCTTTCTAGCATGGAGACGAACTTAACAGCATCTTGGCCGTGTAGAGTGTTTTCCTTGTCCCCGAAACACAGAATGACATTTAAATCTACCATTCCAAATGACATTACATATCCAATTGTATTCTTAATTGTCAATCGACAGCAGTTAAATAACTTGAAGGCGTTTATTTCTTGGCCACCCCTGTTTCAAAAGGTCCAGACAAGTACCTATCCCTGTGTCTAAATCGAAAAGTTTGCTCTTTGTCCTTCACCAGTGTTCCCTCTAAGTTGAGTCAGTGTGAACTAGCTCACAGCTTTTCAGCCTCCGGCTCACACGTTTTTGTCTCAGCTCAGGAAGGGAGGGCTCCAGAGCAAACTAACTTATGCAGCAGCCAAATCGCTCGCTCACAACTTTCATGCCAGCAGCTCACAAAGTAGAATTTTTGCACACAAGACTCCACAGCGTAGAGGGGGCATTGTCCTTGACCCACGCTGCTTGCATACTTTGCGATGTGCCTGCTTTATAATCCTTCAGAGAGGAAGGTTTGGGATCACAGCTGGGGGATGTGTGTGAATGGCAGGGGTTCATCTGGAAGAAACGACTTGTTCTTGACCAACGGCTAACCTCTCCCACCGCTCAGCTCCTCGGCCTCTTTGCCTTAGCCTTATGGACAAGCTTTCGGGGTGTGTGTGTGTGATTCCCCTGGCTGCAGGTGCCCTCGGCATCTTGTGCCACCTTGCCCAAGAGCAACAGGCACGGCAGTCAGAATGGGCCCCCTCGCCTTTGGATGCAGCAGCCGGGCAGCGTGGCTGCTAAGGCTGCACGGGAAGCTTGTCCTGGTCGTGTGTGAAGATGGACGTCATCACCCGGAAGAGTCTCTGCTGCTTACAGACGACAAAGCAAGAGTCTCTGTTGACGGACCTGTTGGCTCACCTTCTTGTTCCTGGTTGTCAGACCGTGTTGGTCTGAAGCAGCAGAACAGATTTAGAGTCCGGGGGCACCTTTACGATTTAAAAAAAAATAAATGTATTCAAGGTGTGAACTTTCATGTGCAGGGCACACTTTTTCAAATACACTGGAATGGAATAACCTTGACTTGTTATTTAGTTTTTTCCCTTTGCATAACTTAAACATCATCATGGTTAAGTGTGCGAACTCTAATCCGGGAGAACCGGGTTTGATTCCCCCAATCCTCCACTTGCACCTGGCTGGATGACCTTGGGCAAGCCGTAGTTCTGATAAGAGCTGTTCTTGAAAAAGAGCAGTTTCTGTCAAGAGCTCTCTCAGCCCCACCCACCTCACAGGGTGTCTGTTGTGGGGAGGGGAAGGGAAAGGAGTTTCTCAGCCGCTCTGAGACACCTTTGGGTAGTGAAGGGCGGGGTATAAATCCAATCTCCTCCTCCTCCTCTTCCTCTTCTTCTTAATTTGCTGTTAAATCCCTATCTATAAGTTTAGAACCTCATCTTCCATTCCGATGTATTTGAAAAAGGGTGCCTTGCACACAAAAGCTCATGCCTTGAATAAACTTTTGTTGGTCTTAAAGGTGCCCCCGGACTCTACATTTCTTCTGCTTCTTTTCCCTGTCACATCTGCCTACCGTTTTCCAGCCTCTCTACTGATCCTTTGCCAAATCATCTCTCTATGCCTGGAACACAGGAAGGGTTTCCTCCCTTTCCTCCATAGAATGGTCCATCCTTGTGTATTCTGATTTCTGCTTATAAGGAAAGGGAGAAGATCCTCTCTTTCCATGAGGCGTCGACCGAGTTTGGCTCACAGTGATTAGTTTCCTCATCACAGTTTGGCTGTCATGACAAGTAACATAAAAAGCTGTAAAGCACTTTTGTAGACCCAAGGAACGTGAAAGAAGAACAGGGGTGGTTCATGGCAGCCCTATAGCTGTGGGCTAAGAAAGACATTTCTCATAGACGTGTTTTGTCTTGAAATGGTGCCTGGCTGCATTCCTCATTGTCAGGGGTCGTTTGGTAGAAAACGAGCTAGGGGAACTCATTAGCATAACTCATTAGCATATGCCACACCCCTGACATCACCGGAAGTGTGTCATAAGGCCACACCCCCTGACATCACTGGAAGTGTGTCATAAGGCCACACACCCCGCCCCCAATGGTTCCGGCCGCCGCCGCCGGCCTTGCAGCTCCACTGCCGAGCCCCATGAGGGGCCCGGCGGGGGACCTGCAAGGCCGGCGGGAGTGCAAGGAAGCCCCGCCAAGGCCCTCCCTGGCCCCAGGCAGGAAGGGGTGGGGAGAGGCGGGGAGGAAGCAACTTACCCTCCCTCTTCTCCTGCCTCCTCCTGGCTGAATGAGGGCCGGAAGCAGGGCACCCGGAAGCAGGGTGCGGGGCTTCGTCATGTGCCCCGCCCCCCGTACCTCACCCGGGGGAACTGCGATCCCCCGCGATCCCCCCCGAAATGACCTCTGCTCGTAGTAGAAAGGGACTTCAGTAAGTTGGGGGTGCTCCTTTCTTTTATTTCACTTCTAGATCCCCAAGATGAGAATAAAATCGGCATAGACGGTATACAGCAGTTTTGCGACGACCTAGCGCTGGACCCCGCCAGTATTAGCGTCTTGATCATCGCCTGGAAGTTCAGAGCGGCAACGCAGTGCGAGTTCCTGAAGATGGAATTCATGGACGGGATGACGGAACTGGGGTAAGTGCTCGGCCGGAGTGTACGGAGCCCGCCCAGTCCTGAACGGTCGCTGCGCAAGCCAAGTTGAAGCAGACTCTTTTGCTAGCAGACGCGGGGGAGGTCCGCCTATCCGTGGGCACACACGCGCGACGGACGCACATGCCATTGATTTCCTGACTCTGATTCCAGGCAGACCTTTGCATGGGCAGTCACAGCCCTGGACTCTCCTGGATGTCAAGCAAGGGACTTTGGAAGTTCTGGACAAAGGAAGCATTAGAGCCAAAGTGTGGGGGGGTGTTCTTGATGTTTTTTATTTTTGCAGAAGGGACTTCAGCTTGCCCCTCCTGGAAGCAGTCCAGGTCTTGGCCAGGGCTATTTTTGGGCAGGAACGCACAGGAACGGAGTTCCGGCTGGCTCCCGAGTTGGCCACGCCCAGCAGGTACTCATTAGCATAACAGGCCACACCCAACAGCAGAAACTCATTAGGATTGGCTACATTAGGGGTCTGTGGCCTAACATGCAAAGGAGCTCCTGCTACAAAAAAGGCCCTGGGTTTTGACAACAAGGTAAGCAGAATAAGAAGCAAAAGGTGGGTGTGGCTGTATGACCACACTTCTGGCAACATGGGGGTGCCGCCTAATGTGCTAATGAACTGTGCTGTCAGGGGTGTGGCCCAATATACTAATGAGTTCCTGCTGTTGGGTGTGGCCTATTATGCTAATGAGTTCCTGCTGGGCTTTTTCTACAAAAAGAGCCCTGGTGGCAGCTGATGTAAATTTGTGTTGTTCTAAGATCATGAGAGGGCCGCGGTGGCTCAGTGGTTAAGGCACTTAGCTGCAGACCGGAAGGTCAGTAGCTCGGCAGTTCGAGACCCGAGTGCCACGTGACGGAGTGAGCTTCCGTCTCTGGCCCCAGCTCCTGCCAGCCTAGCAGTTCGAAAGCAAGAAATTGCAAGTAGATAAATAGGTACCACTTCAGTGGGAAGGGAACAGCGTTCCGTGCACCTTGGTGTTTAGTCATGCTGGCCACATGACCACGGAGATGTCTTCGGACAGCGCTGGCTCTTCGGCTTTGAAACGTAGATGAGCACCGCAACCCTAGAGTTGGATTCGACTGGCTTTCAAGCAAGGGAAATCTTGACCTTTAGTTTAAGATCGTGAGAGAATTGGCCTGCACGCCAACTGAGTGGGTTGGACCGCGTGGACCTATTTTGCCAATGATGATGCTTTCTAGAGGAACAGGGGCCCGTGGGATCCAACTTAGTCTCTTCCTCTGCCTTTTATTAACCCAACTGTTTGATCATAAATACAGTTATTTAAAAAGCGCCCTGAAAGCACTACGTGGCGTGGCGTCTAACATACAGATTTTTTGTCCCCCCCTCCAACCCGATACAGATGTGACAGCATAGAAAAACTGAAGGCCCAGCTTCCTAAAATGGAGCAAGAATTAAAAGAGCCGGGAAGGTTTAAGGATTTTTATCAGTTTACTTTCAACTTCGCCAAGAACCCAGGACAGAAGGGTTTAGGTAGGTATGCTTAGTTGCTGTCCTTTCCTGGTCCTGAACCAAGTGAGCCGGACCATGTGGAGTATCCTTGCCGGGCGGCTGCTAAAAAAAAGGGCCTTCCGAGCCCTGTATCCGGTCAGAATGGTGGCAGCCCACACGTGAAGCCTCTTTATACTGACCCAGGCCCTTGGTCCATCTAGATCAGTCTTGTCTACTCAGACTGGCAGTGGCTCTCCGGGGACTCAGGCTGAGGTCTTTCCCATCACCACCTGCCTGATCATTTTAACTGGAGGTGACGAGGATCGAACCTGGGACCTTCTGCATGCCAGGCAGAGGTTCCTTCACTGAGCCACAGCCCCTCCCTCTGAGCTTCCTGACCAAACGCTTCCTTGGCCCTCCCGGAAATGTCCACCTCACCTGGTTTCCTGCTCTGGCCTCAGGGACTGTCACGTGCCCAGCAGTGCTTTCAGGTTTTCTTTTTCCAGCTTCCGTGGCCAGTGGAGAACTCATTCCACAGACTCAGCGCCAGTTCAGAAAGTGGCCTTTACTGCTGTGTGAAGAGCTCCTGGGGGTGTGGAGTGAAGCTCCAGCGCACCGTGTAGAGCAGGGGTGTCAAACATGCGGCCTGGGGGCCAGACAAGCCCCCCACCCGGAGGGCTCCTATCAGGCCCGCAGTGGAACTGGCAGTCTTCTGCTTCTCCTTCCAGTTCTGCTGCTGCTGCATCATCGTAGGTTTTCAGCTTACAGACAGACACCTGAACAGCATACTCAAGATTGCAGCAGCAGAGGCACTTTGATGCAATAATTCAGAGCAAGAGGTGTCAGTTATCAGACCCTGTTAAATAAACAAAATATTGCAAGAGTGCTCATGTTTTAAGCATGTTGTTATTTTAAGTTAAAAAAACCCTTTTTCCCCCAAAAAACAATTTATTAGGATATATTAAGAGGTCAAACATACATTATACTACTAATTGTTATACATCCTTTTCTCCTATTTCCCCACCCCCTTTGACTTCCCACAGTGCTCCAACCTCCAGCCCACATCTTAAATTCTTTCCTTTTCCCCCTTACTTGTTAATCACATTCTACAGGTAACATACTTTCAACTATTATTCTTATACATGTATCCTTCTTCTAATATCATTCTTTTTTCAATAGTTATCAAAGCAAATTAAGTTGTTCTTTACATCCCAATATTTTTCTAAATATTCTTTAAAGTCTATCCAGTCTGCGAAAAATTCTTCTGCTTCCAGATTTTTAAGCTTTCTTGTCATTTTGTCCATTTCCGCCATAAAAAGTAATTTCTTTATCCACTCCCCAATTTTGGGAGTTCTGTCTTGCTTCCAGCATTGAGCATATGTTTTTGCATCCTTTATAAAGTTTATATCTCTGCCACACGTGGCCCGTCCCAACAAGGTCTCATTGATGTCAGATCTGGCCCTCCTAACAAATGAGTTCGACACCCCTGGTGCAGAGCCTGACCCACATTAGCGCCAGTCTGTTGTTGCAGCTGTGGCAGGGGAGCAGCTTTGCAGACCTGGGAGCCTTTGGCGTCCCTGCACTGAGCTTTCTTTAGCAAACTCCTGCTTATTGCACTTTCAGAACTTAAAGATACAGGCTTTGTTTTGTGTGGTCTCATTATTAACGCATCCTTTACGTTGCAGATTTAGAAATGGCCATTGCCTACTGGAATTTAGTACTTCACGGAAGATTTAAATTCCTAGACTTGTGGAACAGATTTTTATTGGTAAGCAGAAATGTTGTTAGCAGCTCTCAGACCTTGCTTGCTGCCTGGCTGTTCCAGAAAAGAGACCGATCAACCTTTGCCTTCAAGTAGCTGCCCGTGGCCGATGTCTGAGGCAGAGGGTGGCCCTTGCCACAAAACCTTTTCTTGATTTTAAGCTCACATGACATGAACCTGCCTTCCACTGAATCAGACCCTTGGTCAGGGCTATTTTGGGGCAGGAACGGACAGGAACGGAGTTCCGGCTGGCTCCCAAGTTGGCCACGCATTAGCATAATAGGCCACACCCAACAGCAGAAACTCATTAGGATTGGCTACATTAGGGGTGTGTGGCCTAACATGCAAAGGAGTTCCTGCTACAAAAAAAGGCCCTGGGTTTGGACAACAAACAAGGTAAACAGAATAAGAAGCGAAAGGTGGGTGTGGCTGGATGACCACACTTCTGTTAACAAGGGGGTGCGGCCTAATGTGCTAATGAGCGGTGCTGTCAGGGGTGTGGCCCAATATGCTAATGAGTTCCTGCTGTTGGGTGTGGCCTATTATGCTAATGAGTTCCTGCTGGGCTTTTTCTACAAAAAGAGCCCTGCCCTTGGTCCATCAAGGTCAGTGTTGTCCGCTCAGACTGGCAGCAGCTCTCCGGGGTCTTTCCCATCACCTCCCGCCTGGTCCTTTTGACTGGAGATGCCGGGGATTGAACCTGGGACCTCCTGCATGCCAAGCAAAGGCTCTGCCAGTGAGCCACGGGCCCTCCCCAAAGCTTGAAGAAGAAGGATGGATGTGGGTGGGACTTTTGGTGTGGGACTTAGGACGAGGCAGAATCCCCACGTTGAATGTACCCCATATGCAACCTAATGTACGCGCCTGTGTCTGCTGTTTGACCTGGCTTGCAAAAACAGATAGAAGTATCAGACATCGCCTGGCAAGTGACACTATGTGGCCGGCGCACAGCATTTGGAGGGTGGGGTCATATATTGGGTCAGGACATTGGCCCATCTAACCCCATGTTGTCTTCTGAACAATGACTGGCAGGGGTCCCCAGGAACCTAGGCAGAAGGCTTTCCCGGTCCTAATCCTTGAGATCCTTTGAACAGCAGATATTCGTAGTCCTGGGCAGACCACCAGTCTGCACCTTGACTTACTGCGTGGGGGCGAACAGCGGTCATGAACACGGATCACCTGCACAGTGCAAGCATGTGTAGGAGGCGCCTGCGCACGCACTCCCTTCCCATAATCACCAGAAAGCCGCATCGCTTGTCATGGGTAGGGGTGGGATGCGTGTGGGGACTTCCTCCTCGCACCAGGCAGGCAACCTGGTGATGGCACAGAAGCACGGGGTGGGGCCAGCCTGCGGATTCCCGCTCTCCCTCCCCATGTGGTGAATCAGTGCGAAGACCGGTTGGCTGCACAGGGTTAGGGACTGACTGTGTGTACCTGCAAAGCATGTGGTCTGTCTTACTTGGACATAGAAACAGAGCTGGAAGGGACCTCCAGGGTCAGCCAGTCCAACCCCCTACACAATGCAGGAAATTCACAACTACCTCCCCCCCCCCCAACAGGGGCTGGAGGGCCATCTGACAGCCAGGCTGATCCTGTGAACTTGGGCAGATCATGAGAGGGAGGGCGGGAAGGGTTCCATCAGTGCTTGGTTCTTGTGGCCCTTTCTACCTGCCCAGGGAAGTGCCGATCACCACTTTGGGAGCCATTTTTCTCCAGGCTGGCTTGGCTGGTGATCCTGGAGGTTTTTTGTCACCTTCTGGGCGTGGAGCAGCAGTCACTGGGGGTGTGGGTGGGGGAGGTATTTCTGAATTTCCTGCTTTGTTCAGGGGGTTGGGCTAGATGGCCCTGGAGGTCCCTTCCAACTCTATGGTTCTATGTCCCCTGCTGTATGCCCAGAGGAGGGCAGAACTCTCCAGGATCCCTGGGCCAATCTGGCCTGGAGGAAAAGTTCCGGCTCCTCCCTTCCTGCCCTCCCTCTCACAACCTCCCTAAATCCACAGAATCGGCATTGCTGTCAGATGACTACTTAGCCTCTGCTTAAAAACCTCCGAGTGGCTCAAGTGGTTAAGACGCTGAACTGCAGGCTGTGGAAGGTCAGTAGTTCAGCCGTTCGAGACCCGAGTGTGCCGCATGACGGAGTGAGCTCCCGCCTCTAGTTCCAGCTCCTGCCAACCTAGCAGTTCGAAAGCAAGAAATTGCAAGTAGATAAATAGGTACCACTTCGGTGGGAAGGGAACAGCGTTCTGTGCGCCTTGGTGTTTAGTCATGCCGGCCACATGACCACGGAAACGTCTTCGGACAGCACTGGCTCTTCGGCTTTGAAACGGAGATGAGCACCGCAACCCTAGAGTCGGATTCAACTGGCTTTTGAGCAAGGGAACCTTTACCTTTCCCTTTTAAAACCTGCAAAGACAGAGAGCCCACCACCTTTCAAGGAAGCCTGTTCCACCGAGGAACCACTCTGATTGTCGGGAAGTTCTTCCTCGTGTCTAGCTGAACATTAGGAGAAACTTCCTTCCTGTGAGCATTGTTGGGCAGTGAAGCTGGTGGGGGGGAGGGGTCAGAAGGGGCACAGGGCGTTTTCTCTGGCGGCAGGCCTTCACGCAGCCACTGGCCCACCGTCTGTCGCTCCGGATGTCTTTCATTGAGCGGGGATTATAAAGCCCCGTCCCAGTCTAGGTTGCCGTGCTTCCGGCTTTGAACGGTGGCCACAGAAGACTGTGTGCCTAGATCTCCCTTCTGATGACAACAGCGTGGTTTTTTCCCCCCCTCCCACAGGAACATCATAAAAGATCTATACCGAAGGACACTTGGAACCTTCTTCTAGACTTCAGTACAATGATAGCGGATGATATGTCAAATTATGACGAGGAAGGTAATGTTACTCCCTAGACCTGTTTGGTATTTAGAATGCTTTTGTTCATGTCCCCACCAGCACCACCACCCCAGTCCTTCAGCGCATCATTTCCTCTTCCTTGGGACTTCTGCAGAGGTCCATCAGTGGTTATGAGCTGCAGTGCCTCAAGTGGTTAAGACGCTGAACTGCAGGCTGTGGAAGGTCGGTAGTTCAGCAGTTTGAGACCCGAGTGTGCCGCAAGACGGAGTGAGCTCCCGTCTCTAGTTCCAGTTCCTGCCAACCCAGCAGTTCGAAAGCAAGAAATTGCAAGTAGATAAATAGGTTCCATTTCGGTGGGAAGGGAACAGCGTTCCGTGCACCTTGGTGTTTAGCTATGCCGGCCACATGACCACGGAAATGTCTTTGGACAGCGCTGCCTCTTCGGCTTTGAAACGGAGATGAGCACCGCAACCCTAGAGTCGGATTCGACTGGCTTTCAAGCAAGGGAACCTTTACCTTTATAGATGGAACACTCTGTGTGGGGCAGTGATGCTCTGTATTCTTGGTGATTGGGGGGCCACAGTGGGAGGGCTTCTGGAGTTCTGGCCCCGCTGGCGGACCTCCTGATGGCACCTGGTATTTTTGGCCACTGTGTAACACAGAGTGTTGGACTGGATGGCCCATTGGCCTGATCCAACATTGGCTTCTCTTATGTTCTTAACCTTCAGTAGGCACCCCGTGACCTCTTCTTGGTTCCCACTGACTTCCACTATAAGAGCATCCGCTGACTTTTTCTTAGCACCGTGAGATGCTGTGTTTTAACTGGGAGGAGCACAGCAGACAAAGAGAACAGTTTGTCCATCTTCTGGAAAACAAGGCCGGTCTTTTGGGCTTCAGCCAGAGCGTTTCTTCTCCAAAACAGTGCTGTGTGTGACTCCACGCACAACTTAAAAAAAAAAATCTTGTATGTTTAAATACAAAACCATCACTTAATCCGGTTGAGGATATTTTATCAATTTAGATGTTTTTTAAACCTTCCTTTCAATGTTTCCAAAGAGTGGAGGATGCACGTGAACAGGAATATGTCCGGGGATAGAGTCCCTCCTGCCCCTGCGATTCCTCCCCTCTGAGGATCCAGGTGAGCTGGCCACGGTGCTGCCGGGTGGCCTCCTGCGACCTGCGCCTCTGGCTGGAACCGCTTGGGCAGCCGGGACCTTGAGTGGCCATCCTCTCAACAGCAACTCTCCGGCAGTGATTTGCTTATTGAGAAATGATCATGTTCCAGGCCAGACCTGTACCATGTCAGAACTGACGCCCTGGCGGGAAAATCCAAAGATATAGAGAAGAGGAGGAGATTGGATTGATAGCCTGCCCTTCACTCGGAGTCTCAGAGTGGCTTACAAACTCCTTTCCCTTCCCCTCCCTACAACAGACACCCTGTGAGGTAGGTGGGGCTGAGAGAGCTCCGAGAGAAATGCTCTTTCAAGAACAGCTCTGGCAGAACTATGGCTTGTCCAAAGTCACACCAGCAGCTGCATGCGGAGGAGTGGGGAAATCAAACCCGGTTCTCCCAAATTAGAGTCCGTGCACCACCACTACACCAAACTGGCTCTCAGTTCAAACAAGCCCCGCACCAACACCCTACACCAAGGCA